AGCGCCGTCTGCGGCCGCAGCGCCAGCCCCGCGCGAGCGGCGCGGGGAAGGGGCTGCCCAGCGCCATGACCCGCGCCGCTTCCTCCCGTCCTAGAGGAAAATGCGCCATCTGCTGGACGTGCTCAGGGAGGAGCTGGGGGCCGCGCAGGAGGCCGGGTCCGCCGGCCCAGCGCAGGGGCACAGCCAGGCCGCGCGCAGGGACGGCGCCTTCGGCACCGGGGACTTGCTGTGGACGGAACCCACCGCGCGCCGATCACCCGTGGGTTTGGAGACGTCGAGGGAGAGGCAGAGCAAGGGGGCTTTGTCACCAGATGTGGCTGAAATGATGGATGCTGCGACAGACACTCGCTCTTCTGCGAAATCTGAACGTGGCCGAGGAATTTCACCCACATTTGATGCCACTTTAAACTCTATTACTTGTGACAGTGATTTGGAAATCAACAAGGACCTGGATGACCTTGAAGAAAGCTTTGCAGAGGCCCTTCAGCTCTCGCCTGGCTATCCAGAGTAGTAGCCAAAATTTAGCTGCTAGCTAGGGATGGAGATAGTTCTGTGGAGAACTGCCCTTCACAGAATAAATCATTATTATTATACTAAATTATTTGTTTCATCTTTGGTGTTTCTGTTTTAAAGACTGCTGCAATCTCTCGAGCAGGGTATTGTTAATCGAGCATTAATTGTACGAATGTAGACTGCAAAGTCAGCTATCAAAAAAATTTTGTATATTTTATCTATAATTGTATAACTCAGAATTTAAGAGAATTTGGGATACTTCTGAGAGTAAAATTAATTTATATTTTTTAGGAAGCCTTAGCTCTGATAAATTATGAAATATTTATTGTTTTTATTTATAACAAATAAAACAACATAATGACATGGTTTTAATGCAGTTGTGGTTTCCAAGATCCCATCCGAGGTTGTATTTTGTAAGATGAATTCAGCTTATTCTCATCAAAACATGTTATCCTGCCTATCTGCAGAGCAGAGGTATTGGTCCATGCTGCCAGAAGGGGCAATTCTGTGTCATTTAGAACTTAGCCCATTGTGTAATGTGAAATGTCAATGAGGCTTGACGTTCTTGCAGTCTTTTTTGCTTTTACAGTACCTGCAGAATATTAGGAACATCCCGTGCATTACCTAGAGTGAAATAAGGAATGACTGGGGACGAGCAGCTTTCCAAACAGAACTTCTTTCTGAGGCTGGTAAATGATCATTTTATCAACCTTAACCCAGAAACTCAGCCCTCTTATTCCTCGTACCCACAGGGATAAAGAGCTGTTTTCCAGGATAAGATGCATTCAAGTCTTTGCTGATGCTCCTGTCAGCTTTCCTGCTGGAAAAGGACGTTTATTGCTGGCCACGGCTTGACTTGCTTTTGTGCTGTTTAATCCTGGCTCTCCCATGCTTCAGTTGGAATTTCTCAAAAGCGAATATTGCAACACTTTTCCAACTGTCCAAGGCTAAGTTACCCAGCTCCTGCACTGATGACAGCGCTGCCTTCATGATCTGTGCTGAGCTTTTCTATTGGAGAAGGGAAAAACGTTGGGTACTGAGGACCAGAACAACCCCCTGTAACAGGCACCTGTGGCATCTTGTACAAGGAGTAGAGAGAAGATGGTCTATTTTGAAGTTTAAATTTAAGTTACTGAGTGCATTGCACAACCTAAGCCCAAGGTTCTTAGTCTAATCCACGTGCGTTTATTGCCTGGCCTTTTGTGTTACTGCATTTGGCCTTAGGAGCTCGGAAGGGTTCTGAGAAGTACGCTGGGAAGGTGCATGCCTTGCTCTACCTGCGCTTGAGGAACAAACCTGCCCCAAAATCTCCTCTGCAGCCAAACCCCGTGCCTGCAGCTCACCCACCTGCCCCCCTTGGTCGTGGTTGTCTGTGGAGAGCGTTACTTTATGAACTAAGTGACCTGCTACAATGAGCTCCACTTGACATAGATCCCAATTGTGCACAAACTTTTTGGAAATTATTATCCCTCTAACCTTAAAACCAAAACCAAAACAAACAGGGAACAAAAACACCATCAAGTAAAAGCCCCATTCCTGGCACAGTCCCGAGCATCTGAGCACTGCAGTGTGGCACGTAGTTCCAGGGAAGCAAAAGGCACTTTCCTGGCTGCCTTGGCCGTAACAGTAAACTACACTTGTTGACTGTGTCAGCAGAGGGGGTTATTTTAGCCGTGTCTGTGGCTGTGCGCGTGGCCTGCGGTTAAGCGCAGCCTTCAGCGGGAGCTCCCTGCCCAGGGAAAGCAGGGGAGAGAACGTGAGGATTTTGTGTCCCTCCATCCACTCTTGTCCTCTTGAAAGGAGACCCACGTGGCTGATGCCGAACAGGGCAGAGGAGGTTTATCGCGAGCTGCAGGTTTGTTGTGAGCAAATCCCGTTTCTCCGGGGCTAGGAAACGCCCCCTGCATTCCCTGGCCTGGAGAATCGGAGGGCACGGGGCACCCAGGGAACTAGTCCCTGCATCTGCACAAAGGACTTTATAACACAGGCTGACTGGTCAGGTCTGGTGGACACGACTACAGAGCCAAATGAAATACTTAGACATGTTCAAATAGCTCTCCCCTCTTCAACCAGGATTTTGCCTCCTGTCTAGGACCCTCGTTTCCAAGCTCCCTGAGCCTGTTACACAGACACACTGGCCTTGCCAAAAATGGATTTCCGTCCCCCCTCCCCAATCATTGCTCTGTATAACTTGCATGTCAAAAGGGGACACTCGATGAACTTTGGCTTGTGGTCAGCATGAGTCTGATTAGAGATTAACAAGAATTTTGCACTAAAATTCTACAAATTAAAAAAAACAACCCAAAAGTGACATCACCATAGAGAAAGGTGCAATTAATGACTGTAATTCTCCAGAGTGACATTAAAAAAAAAGCAGTTAATTGACTGTATTCTCTGCTGATGAGCTGTCTATAAATCAATGAGATTTTTTTTTCCTGAGTGGGTGGAACTCAAGACTAAATGAATTCATTAAAACAAACCTTTTGCAAGTAAAGCATACAAAGTAGTATGCCTAAAAAAGCAGCGCTCTGAACATTTCATAGGTCCAGAGTGACATACGCGCTGTGGAACAACGCGGTTACCATTCCAGCAGCGACAGCAGCCAGACCAGCTAAAGGAACCGGTTCCTCGGTGTGCAGCCGCTCCCACCAGATAGTGGGGGAAAATATTCCAGGTAAATGTTATCTGCATATAGTCGTTAGCTTATCTAGCCTACAGAACCAAAAGGTACATTCAAGCTTAAAACTTTTTCCCTTTTATTCGCATTTACTTTAGGTGGTGCTTCAAACACACCTTGTTTGGGCAGCAGACGTGCAAGGCAGGCCCACGTCACTGACGGCCTTATCGCCAACGCAGGCTTTGGGCTGTTTGCTTTTTCCTTTCTGCCCCCTCTCTGCCCACACCCTGAGTCCCAGCTGGGTTTTTCCCCTCGCTCCTGGTTCGTTCACGTCTTAGCAGGAGCCCTGGCAGAACAAGGCAATCACTGCACCGCTACAAACCTGACTGCTTTGGACAAAATGAAATGCTCAGGAGCAGCTGGTGGCTGTGGTCTGCAGTACAGAGCTCTATTTCTGTGCCGATTGATGTGGGGAGTAGACATGGGTATAACAACAACTTTAACCTTGACTTCACACGACCAAAAGACAATTAGTGTTTCTTAGCTCTGTAACAAAGCAAAGTCTTATCTTTAAAACCTATTGCCCTGTCATCGGTGCCCTTGGTTTTGAAGACAGGACTCTGTTTAGTTACAAAGCTAAAAGAGTGAGTCTTCTGGTCACGTGAAGCAAGACTAATGTGAGGAAAGGCAAAGGTACTGGGATGTCTTAGCGCTGCTCAGAAAAAAAAAATGCTAACAGACCCCAAACGATCATTTCAGTGATTGTAAGTGCGCCTACACACTCTTAATTTAGACTTAGGTATAGCATGACCCCAGTGAATAGAATAGGGAAATCTCCTTCATGCAGAAACAGTCGTCATCAGTTTCTATTCCAGGTAGCAAAGAAATAGGTGCAAACAGGTGAGTGATTAATTGCTTGCTGCACCAGCCACTGCAGCAATATGGGTCACAGCTACGCGAGGGATCCAGTTTCAAAGTCCATAAGCAGGTCTCGGGCCAGCGGAAATGCACCACGTAACAGGGATAACGCATCTCTAGGGAGGAAGAGAAGAACCAGCTGTTACTTGCACGGCCGTTTTCCAGTTGATCATCTCCAGGGAACCTGCAGGAGAACCTAGGAGGCCGTCAGGGTATCAGGCAGCCCGTGAGGAGCTACAGGACTACTGCCAGCTTACAGCTGCACTCATCCTTCAGCCCGCCTTGCAAACCCGTAGGCTTTAGCCCCAGCCTCCTGTGCAGGCAGGAGCGGAACGCGGGGCTCCCAAGGCCGAGTCACCCCCGAGCAGCGCGGGCTGCTCCCGCGTGAGCCTCGCAGGCCCATGGCGCGGGGGGATGAAAGCAGACCTTGAGAAGGGCAAGGAAAGGCTACGCACATGGAGCAGGGAAGGCATCTGAAACTCGAGAGAGAGGCGGCTTCAAACCGAGCCGGAGCCCCGCAGGCCACGGGGCTCTGCTCTCCCACTCTCCCAGGCAGCGTGATCCGTAGCACGAGGTGCAGAGCTCGCCGCAGCTATCCCAGGAATTCAGCGAGCCGGCAGGACTCCCCTTGCAGGGCCTGTGCGAGGGCTCGGCATAGCTAACACCTCACAGCAGCCAGGGGCCCATTCCAGGAGAGGGATCACAGGACTGTGAGGCGACCCCCGCCCTTCCCAGCTATCCGTCCCTCTCACACACTCAGGAGCACACTCCCCTGCCAGGTTAGAAGGTAAGCAACACGTCCAGGGCCATCAGCTCATCCGGCCAGCCTGGCCATTCCTCACAGCGCCTCAGAGGAGTAGACTTTCCAACCAGAAATTCAACTTGGAGGTATTTGGCACCCTGCTTTTCCTGAGACCGGAGCTAATGCAGACTGCAGAGCCCTGGAAGCTGCCGTTGCTGCTTCCCAAACGCTGGGCACAACCACCTCAGTTACGAGGGGATTATAAGAGGGAGGTTGTCCTTTCTCCTGAAACAAAGTGACCCAGTGGGTCTTCCCTTCCCACCTTCAGCTTTGTGCAAGTGCTTTCAGCCTGAAGGCAGCTCTTTCCTGATCCCCACTGAGGCCTCCTACAACGTGGAAATGGAGCTCCCAGCTGGAGGGCCCTGGAAGCACCGCATTCACCTTGCCAGCCCTCCTAACACCAGGGCACCCTGTTATCAAGGGTAATTGGCTCCAGGAGGGACTGCACTGCAGGAATACATTAATAATTTGGCAATGCACACACTCAACAGTGCTCCTCACCTTACGCAGATTGTTTCTTTGCAGCGCATCAAAGTTCCTGCATCTAATACCTGTTGTGAGTCGTCTTATAGCCCTTCTGACCGCAGGGTGGTGGAACAGCTCCCTCTGTCCTTAAAAGCTTAAAAGCAATTTGAGAAAATGCCAATCCTTCATGTAGCATCTATGTTTCCATTTTCTGTGAACATATTATCTTCCCTTTTCCTAATTACATTTTGATCCTGAA